GCATTTAGCAATGAGACACTGGCAGATTTCTGCTTATCAGACACTCCAAATCTCCCAGCCATCATTTCTGTAACCACTGAACCAGCAGACCTGTCTGCTGAGGAAGCCAGGTGTGCCCAACTCCAGGGTTGAGCTACTTGACACAGTGATCCAGCAGGTACCAGCCACCTTCACAATCACTACATGGTAACAAAACTAACTTAGTCATCCTGGTGCAAAGGACCAGAGCTATACTCTTCTTCTTTACAGCACAAATGTAATTTTACTTTGCCTGTGGTCAAATAATCACAGGATTTTATTAAGGAAAACAGATAACACAGAATAAAGAGTCTTCATAAATGTACTGCATTCATACATCTCATCTCACCAATAAGGGATCTTATTTTTACAGTATTTGATTTTCAAGAAAAGGAAAAGGAGAATAATAATATGGAAACAGATTATAATCTGAATAACAAAACATAAACAGTCTCTAACTGCAGGGAAGAGCACATAACCTAATGCTTTTGGTTTTATAAAAGTTGCAGAAAATCCCAGTAACAAGGAGAAACAGTATCTAAATACACTCAACAGTAGCATCTGTAACTAGAGGAGAAAAATACTTTGTTTCAGCAGGACTAATCCCAATTTCCAGACTCTTCTGTAACTGGAAACCTTTGCTTTTACCACTCTGGAAAAAATTATCTTCACAAGCTATTGCTGTCTCACTGCTTCTATTGACTTCCCCTGGTGTTCTGCTTAGGACCAGTAGTAACTGCTCCAAATGAGCCAGTGACACTCAAATTGTTGCTGTGATATTTACAATATAGTCCAAGAAAGAAAACTTAAATTTTTAGTCCTTCCAAAATGGAAAATAATCTAGTTTTCTAGAGAGATGTTAAGGTGTATTTTTTCTTTGCTCCTTTCCATTTTTAATAAAAGGCCCCGGGCTGATTGGGGCTGCCAAATCCAGCAGCTCATGGGAAGGAAGGTTGCTGTGTGGGGAGCCAGAAGTAGGCTTAGACATCGGTGAGGCCATGCACATAACACATTCATGCACATGAATGCAATACATGTGCAGCATATGTAGATCCACACAGACAGAAACACTCAGCACTCATGTGACCACAAACACGATCAGTGATCCTTATTCCATTCCACTCTGTTGATGAGCAGGATGAAGGTCCAACAGTGGGCAAAATATACAACTGAACAGTTTTGATCCCTTCAGTGAGCAGCGTGGGATACGTTGATCCCATAACTGGCATTTTTCATGGCCTGGTTCTTCCAATTACCTCACACACCCATGCACATGTGACACAGGTCCCCTGCTGCAGACACTCAAAAACTCCCAGCACCTCATGCACTTAAGCACATGCACATACGCAGACTGATCTCTTGGCCTCCTGGCTGACCTGCACGCTTGAGGCTGCCTCCCTACACAAAGCTTCCAGGGCACCGATCCTACTTGCTGGCTCCTCCAGCTTGATCCCCATTAGTGATGGTACACTGACATTGTGATATACCATGCATGTGTTCTGCTCTTTCCAGCTTGCTGCCACCACAGGCTCAGGGACTTCAGCTGTTGGTGCTTAGGCCTCTATAAAAAACATGCACACAGAGCAACACTTAAAAATAGCATTTAATGAGGCCAGAATGGAAAGCAGTGACCAGGCACAGGGCATGGGCAAACAGAACAACCAGCCACCTGCTTTCATGTCCTGATTGGGCAGACAAAATGAGCCACTGGGAATCATTGAATCCTACACAGCCTTTGGAAATTTCATGCAGCACTATGAACGTTCTCGTTCGTGCTAATTAGTCACAACCAGCAGTTTTTGTTTTTTAAACATTAAATGCTCAGTAAAAGAAAGTGATCAGTCAGAGTAAACATTATTTTGGGCTGTAGACCAAATAAAAGTTTTATATTAACTGAATGCCTAACTATTTTCCCTTTTTTATTTCAACTTTTTTAATATATCAAAGCTTTCTATGATACTCATGAAAAATTATCACAGATACAAACCTAGTATTTTAACACATTCTTGGAGAATCTAGAAAAACGAAAATAAATTAATTGCTCATTTACAGAGTTCTACACATAAGTGTGAGGCTACTGTCTGGTTATATGCTACACGCACTTTCTAGACTGTAAAAACTAGATGAAAAGCATAGCAGCTGGATGACTCAGATTGCTGACCTGGTGTAAAACAACTGTATGGTTAAAAACATCTGAGGAATTTTTATGAGCGTAACTTTCTGTCAGTAAAGTTCATGCTGAATTATATAAAGGTAGATCAGCAGTTTTGCTTCAAGAGCCTTTAACCTCTTCTCCAGATTCTTCTGTTTCTTCACTTTGAGGTTATTATACCAGGATGTCCTCAGCTCTCTTTCATTAAAAACATGGTGTCTGTACTTTCACGGAGCCTTTCAACTGCCACCACCAGCTACCAGACAATCAGAGATTCTGTCCATTTGTTTTAGTACTGGGCAATAGCACTGTCCGACAGGCTATTTCTGAGCATCCCACAGCATCTATTTTAACATATTCTACCTTTCAACAAGTGTATTGCCAAATGCATCACACTACTCTGCTTTGAGAAAATTTCACAAAATGAATATAGGCATGTTAGTTAATATTTAGTTAATATCCATCTACTGTAACATGAATATCAGCCTATGGAAAAAAAACAGAATGATACAGTATACAAGATACTGCGTAGAGTTTGAACTACAAGTAAGTGTAGCCACAGATTCCCGAATATTCAAAATGTTCCCTAAATAAATACTGTAGTATTATGGATAGCCCATAATAGCAAATCTCTCTCAAAACATATACAGTTTAAAAATCATTTATATCTAGCTACTGTACCCCATCAGTAAATCAAAGTATTCATTTCAATATTCAATTTATTTAATCACTACCTGTATCCACAAGAAGAGACTTGACTGGGAATCACTTGTATCCTTCCTAGCATTAGCTTCATAAAAAAGCACACTGCAAGTCTTACTACTTCTTTCACATAAAAAGGCTTTTTTTTTTTTTTTTTTTTTTTTTTTTTTTGTGTGTGTGTGTGTGTGTGGTATCTGTCACAGATGATTTCTGAACAAATTGGTTACAAGGACAGCAGAAAAGCGAGTGGGAAAAAGAACCTCAATAAAACCATAATTCCAGCAGTACAGGTTTTTAGTAGCAGGCTCTAGCAAACACAGGTACCTTCACAATATTTATTAGCAAAAAAACGTACTGCAAATCTTGGACACAAACTAGGAAAATGAATGATTCATCATTTGTTTATAACGTGCACAAAATAAAACTGGGTTTTCTTGTGAGACTTAGAAGCCATGTAGCTAGAAGTAAAATGTCATTTCTAAATTACTGATTATTTCTAATGCAAAGCAGCTATTCTAGATCTCATCATAATGGCAAAATATAAATTAACTAATGGATTGCTCAGCAGTCACTAATTATGACTCCATTTCTTCCTGTGTATGCAAACAACTTCATATATTCTTTTAATGAGGCTGCATTTTCTTAAACTGAGAGAACCAACCTGTACATTTCAGAGAGAAAAATCACATAAAACGTAAATACGATCTGGATGCTATTTTATATAATGTTTATTTAGAATTCTTTTACAACTGAGAACGAGAAATGAGAATGTTCTGAGGATGTTAGGAAATTAGAAAATGATTCAACGGTGAAATTAAAAGATCAATTAAGTGGGAAAGAAAAGTATTCAGCAAAAAATCAAGGCAGAGAAATCATGCAGCATAAAAAACTGAAGAAAAAATATAGCAGCAGGCCTGGCAAGTGAGTAGCAGTTTCAGCATAGAGCAAACCACAGGCACATCAGTTGTAGATATAAGCACAGAGATAAAATGTGTATTAACAGCAGGACAGTTCAACATAGGTCTCTGTCCCATTTCCTAGTGTAAGTAGGAGGCTATTAATGAAATTCTCTCTAACTCATTATTGACCTGGTTTCATCTGAGACAGAGTTGTTTATTCTTTCATAGTGTTTGGTATGATGCTATGCCTTGGCTTTAGGAGGAAAACAATGTTGACAGTACAGAGATGTTCTACTTGTTGCTAAGTGGTGCTGTGAGGAACCAATGACATTCACATTTTTCAGCTTCTCCTACTGTCCTGCCAGTGAGAGGGGCTGAGGGGGAGCACAAGGTGCTGGGAAGCGACAGAACCAGGACAGCTGAGTTAAACGGGTCAGAGGGATGTTCCATACCATATGACATCACACAAAAAAACCTTGAAAAACGATGGGGAGTTGGCTGGGTGGACAGCCCCTGCTTGGGGATTAGCTGGGTTAAACCACAATTACCTACTAAAGAAAAGGTTTAGCAATGTTTACTCAGAATTAAATTTATAATATACTAGGCTGGAACAGCTTGTACCTATGATCTCTGGACATGGATAAGATGTGAAACTCCACGTTGTTAATCTTTAATTGGTGTTAGAGCACTGACAAAAATAGGCAAGGATGGGAGTAGCTACAATACAGCTGTATATATTGACCAACAATAATACATTTACTCATATTCAAGTTTGCTGCTATTGTCCAAAATGGAAAATAAAATTGGGTAAAAAAAGAATAAATACATATTGTCCCATCTGAAAGTCTATGTAATCAGTATGGCATCTGTTAGTTATGACACAAACAGACTCTTTTCAAACAGGAAAACACAAAGGTTTCTTCCAACACACACCAATCTGTGATCAAGAACAGTAAAATAGTCATTATTTTCAAAGAGCTGTGGCATAGGAGTTGTCAGGAAACAATCTGAAATTGTCTACAATGATGTTATGGAGAGAGAACAAAGATGAAAAATAAAATTAAAATCTGTTATACCAGACTGGGATTATAGACTAATTTGCATGTTTTCTATTACTATTTAAAAATGTCACCAATTCTGCTGCAACATACGTACATAAATATGTTCATATGCACACACACAGTATTTATTCCTTAGATCAGACAAACAAAATACTGAATTGCACTCACCCCAGGATACGGTTCATTCCATGCCTAGCAGCATAATGGAGTGGAGTATTGTGCTGGTAAGTTTCTCCATACGAAGTATTTGGGTCAAGAGTTTCTTTTAGTTGAGGGTTACTCTCATATATTTGGCAGGCCAGATTTTCATCTCCATTTATAAGAGCTTTGCGGAATTTGGTGGTTGTATTTCCCATGTTGCTATTCTAGCTATCAATGGCACTTTTTCCTTTCCCCTTCATCCACTTGTCATGAGGTTCTGTAACATGCTTCACAGCCTAAAAAGACAAACAGTATGTTAGTTATTTTGTAAAGCACTCTTTCCCAGATGAATTAACCCAGAGCTGCAGCACTGTAAGCGCGCACGTGAAGAGTACTTAGGGCCTAAAACCTCTGCTCACAAATTCCTGAAGTCCTTATAGGTAGGATACACACAAATTCCCAATTATTCACAGATTATTTCCCTATCGAGTATTTTTATTACAGATACTCTTGAAACATAAAGAGGGCCAAGATACATCTATATTAACAGACATGGATGAAAAGTGAATTTCCACTGCTTGAGAAGCAAGTAAGAAATTAGAAGTGATTTCAAAACATAGTACAACCAAAGACAAGCCCTTCAATAGAGGTAAAATTCTTCAAAAGTACGCAAGAAACCAGACCTCAGTTTAACTGTTACTTAAAGAACACCAAGTAAAATACGCTTGAAGTACCTATGCACATGTAGGTGGGTTTTTTTGTGCCAGCCAGATCACACACACAAACATAGGAATCACTACAGCCCCATCCTAGCCATTCTGCTAAGGAGATTCTTTAGAACACCAAGCTCATTTTTAAAACAACAGCTGCAGAACAACAGTGACTGGGTCCACACGGTGCCAGGCAGCACTGCCAGTTGTTGTGCTCTACAGTCTCTTGTCTTTACCTGATGTGAGGGACCAGCAGACTGAGTTACATGAAGACTGGGCAAGCACAGCATCTCAACTCACGAGATAAAACAGGAGAAGCTTATAGGGCCATCTGAATGAGCATGCTGTGTTTTGTGTCAGAGGGACAGAAAGGGGACTCAGCACCAGGCGGCAGCTGGTAGCACAGTGAACCTTCTGGAGGTCTGTTGTGCACGAGTCACCACACGCAGACCACTGCATGCCAGATCCTTCCCCCACAGCATACACTCTGAGATGCAAATATGCCAGGCACAGCATGATACAACACTGGAATTAATTGTGTTGGGAACATACAGTCAGACAGGACAGGAGCTTCTATGTACTCACTGCCTTATATTCTACTCAACAAGTATAATGACTACTTGGCAAATAAAAGGACTACCTCAACCTTCTGCATTTGCTTGTCTGCAGTTACTGGTGCCCAGGGCAGCTCTAAACAGAAAAAAATCAGATGAATGTAAGGGGTCTAAAGCTGCAGAAAGCCTCAGGGAGTCATGATGTGTATGCAATCCACGTGAGAAGGATTTGGGAAACTAAGGGAAAGCTGCAATGCTATACTTTTGTTCCCACAGAGTTGTCCTTGTATGAGCTGCTTTTCACTACTACTGTGAACTTGCACATCACATTAACAGCAAAAGTATCAAAGAGCAGGACAAGCACACTTGCACACCTTTATTTGCATGCCTGTATGGCTGCAGTTTGCTCAGATTCTGTTCTACATAAGTGCAACTTTCTGCAGTTCTGCACTGTCCCCTCTCTTCAGTTCTTCAGACGGGTCACTTGGGGAAGGCAAGGGAAAACACCCACACATCACCTGGGTAGGATGGCAGTCTGGGCCATCCTACAAGGAATACAATGGCTATGGTGGCCTCTATTTTAGTCCCCTTTTCCTTCAAAATTCCAGTGAAGCAATCTCCATTTTGGAGTATTTGTGTCCTGCTGCTTGATGGCACCACGGGTCTGCTACAGCAGCTGACCCAGCATGCTGGGCATGGTGCCCTGTGTTCTCCCCTCAGGTCAGGGGCAAGCCCCTGTGAAGCAGCTGGATGTTCACACTACAAGGGATGAACAGGCATTCTGAAAGCAGAAGCACGCCTGTTGTACAGGCAAACCAAAACCCAACATGAATACTGCAGCATTTGGTATCTTTCTGTTGTCCCTATTTTATAACATAAGCATGCAGATACTATATTCATGTTCTTCAAGAAAGCCCCTGTATGTTCATATTACCATGTCACAGCTTCTGGTGCTTTAAATTAGCCTGCTTCCAGGTACATAAGCAGCTATGCTACTGTAAATATTAAACAGCTTTAGGCTTTAATAAAATACTGTAAAAATAATGGAAAAACTTTCTATTCTCAATAAACCAGCAGTTCATATTACCCTCTACATAAAAACAAAATAAAGCCCAAAGCTTTCAAGAGCTGGGATCTTAAGAATAACTTGAGAGAATGACTTTCAGTCACATTCGTTAATGAGGAAAGCTTATGATGTTATAGTATCTGCTAATCCCTATCGACTACCAACAGCTCCTGAGACTACAAACCAGACAAGAAAAAAATGCCTGAAGTACATCCTTTTCCTCAAATCTTCATGCAAACCAATAACGCAGATCCCACTGGTGCCCTCAAAGAGCGAAACTGCACAAAAAACTTCTTGCATGATTCAGAATTAGGAGGTATCAGCATCAATTGCAGTGTACTCATTTCTGGAACTTAGCACATGGGTAGCTTCTGTCAGCTGCAGAGCATGCTGCCTCTTGCCCCACCTGGCACATTAAACAAACCTGCCTATGGGCAAGGGAGGCTGCTAAGAGTCATGTGGGAGATTACGGGGCCCTGAGGGAATCTAAGAGGCTGGAGCACAGTGAGAGTGCTGAGATCCTGAAGCAGAAATCTGTATGTACTTGGGCAGGGGGCTGGGAATGGATGGGAGAACTGACAGCCTGAGTGGGGTGGCTGCAGTACAGAAATGGCAAAAATTTAAATTTCGTTAGTTTACTGCACGCTGAGCAGCCTGTTTATTTTTTGATGTAGTACGAATATAGTACATGGTAGAACAATCTTCAAAAATGAATAATATAAAAGAAGCACACTGCTCAAAATATTATGCACATTACCATAACATCTGGCAAATTCAGGAATATGCAGCAAGTACTGCGAAACTGACATCTGCTCCCCTAAAAAAAAATCCTAAAGCCTACGTACACACTCAAGGGCTATATATGATACAGACATGATACAGAAAGATGAACAAAGAAATACAATTGCATACTACTCTACATATAAGGACCACTCTTCAAATCTCAAGATTTTCAGAGTCAAAGGAAAGCAAGAATTTTAAGGATTAAAAACAGAGCAATGATATGGCTTTGAACAGAGAAGAGGAACTTTTCCCAAAATCAAGAATCAGCAAGAGGTATTGAAAATTTACCAAATGGCTAATGCAACTATAATCATCATATTATCAGAAGAAAATTAAATATGATGGAATGGGGACAGTGCATGAAAGCACTTCAGGTGAAGGCAAACAGCTTATATTTGATGTGATAGCAAGAAACCAATCTCTGGGAGAACACAAGGAGAGAAGTGACAGGGTCAAAACTAATCCAGAAAACATCTCCCTGTTTAAAATAAAGGATACTATAAATTGTGCTAATGTCTTCCAGCCTCATTCAATATCCAAAAGGACATTCATCTTTCTCACTCAGCCTCTTACGCCTCACAAAATTTGGTGGGCCACAGCGTGATTTTCTTTTCTGCATCAGACATTAAATGTGTCAGTACAAATACCCTGTGGGTACAGAGGGGCAAAGCTGCCTTTATACACTGCCAGTAAGAGATGCCTCCCAGCACCTCGGGAAGTCAGAAGAAACCAACACCCAACAGCTGTTGCCTCTCTCAAGCTGCCGAGTGCTTACTCTATATTCCAGGTCTGCCTGCCTGTGGTTGCCAGCTCAGCTCCCAGCAAACAGACCAACCACTTCAGAGTTCAAAGGAGGTCCTGCTTCGGCTGAAGGAGAAAAAGGACAAAACATGAGCTGATACAGCAAACTTCTGCATCTGAGAATGGCTGAAAGGGGCCTGGGCTGTGTTGGTTGGCTTTTGTTTTTGTTTTTTTTTCTTTTCTGTTAGAGGCTTCCAATCCATTACGTGCTCTCAGAGGACAGTAAGCTAACAAGGCTAGCACCGGAACCAGGCAGAAATTCATCTCAGAAAGGAAATATAGTTTGCTCTTTCAACCTCTCCTCTCTTGTGTTTGAAAGTAAAGGGTGTGCAATACATGTGTATCCTCCCAAAAGAGATGGGGCCTGGAAGGCCCAGCCAGTTCATGGCCTCAAGGACTGGGAAGCTGCATACAGGAAAGGCTTTAAGGCTGGCTCATCAGCTCCCAGCTGCACTGTGCACTGTTCTCTGGGTTTGCATAAACTCAGCATATAAAATTCTTAGGCTATTTTTTAATTTGCTGTATTACAAAAACATTGCAGTATAAAAAAATGACAATACGAAAATGGCGGTTTTCAAATATTTTACCTAAATACAATGAGACTCTAGCAGAGTTTGATATGACAAAGACTTCTGTTTGGTAGGCAGATCTATTTGCTGCATTTTTAAGTTCTACGAAGAAAAAAGAGCTATATCATAGCCTTTATTGTACCACTTGTTGTTACTATTATTGTAACATTTATAACAACCAAAAGTATCCTTACAACCTTTTATATCAAAGAGTACAGGAAAAACTAAATGCAGTGTTTGCTTACTATATCCCTCCACTATTGTTTCAGAATTTCAAACATTCAATCTCCATATTTAAAATAAGAGTCTGTTTCACTACTCTGTCATTCCCAAATAAAAGTTCCAACTTAAAGCATAAAACCATAATTCTGTTAACATGTATCACTTTAAAGTCTAAAGAAAAATTCTTATAAAGTCAACCAAGAGAAGCGATTCTCTGCTTTGGCACTGAACAAAGAAACTGCTATGGACTTATTAGCAACACTGCTAAAAGCAGCATTTGATACCACGGCTCCATAAATATTTAACAGAGATGGACACTCCCACAGGAGCCTGAAGAACAAGTATAACATCAAAAAAGAGTGAATACAGAACGAGGTGGGTAGATGAAGGCACAAATGCAATTTTGTTGCAGTTGCACCAGCTGCCCAATTATTATTGATTTTTTCATGGGCATCACCATACTAGTGAGTTTGAAGGAGGACAATTTTAATGGCTTCATAGGATTTCAGAAATAGCTTCTCCCTAGAAATAGGGCCAAGCTGCTTGCTTGAAATTTGTAACAAATACTGTATGAGAGGGATTAGACAGCTA